ATAGAAAAGTAGCGTAATATCATTATAGCTTGCATGGTAACACCGTCCAGTAATTTTCTGGAATCATAAAGTTCCCTAACGAAGCAACATTTTCGCTAACAAACCTCATCTAGCCCAGCTTCTACAGTTACTATCAACGATAATGAGATCACTATTTATACCGTAGAGCGAAATCGCGTGGAACAATAAAGATTATGTATCGCAGATTATCTCTGTTTACATAAACCGAAGCCGAAGTTGGGGATTAGGCCCCTAGAGGCCTCAGGCCGATCCCCCTGAGCGTGATCTATGGTTATTTCATATTTATGCCGACGATTAATCGTCGCGACCGATTTTAATATATGCGTAGTGGAGGGGGGCAGCGGAAGTTATTCGAAATTTATGCGGAGTTGTACGGAGTTGTATGGAGTTCCGCAGATCGGGTACGTGTGTATCGAGTTTTAGCGGAGTTTGATTGCTCTTGAATTGGGAAACCGATGCACCGAACTCTATCTTGGGGAAACTAGATACTGCAGAGGGACCATTCTTATCGAATAGTTCAACGGCTTTAGCACGGAGTCTTAGCTTGCACTTACTGGGGGAATTCAGGATCGATATTATAGTTTAGTTGATAACATAACCTAAACGGGCGAAGTTAATCCTAGAAGCATTAGATGAGTTTAAAAGTGCAGGAAAGTAATCCGCCATAATGTCTGGTTGGTAAATGGAACCACATATGCTTAACTATCATTTACTGACAATGCTGTTTCTGTCGCGTAGGTGATCTTTTCAAACAAAATTGACAATACTGATGTCAATACACTTCAGTTCTAGATGGCCGTTTAAGTTTTGTCTTGGGCTGACCTGGGACTGATTCAACGAATTCAGACTAGGTAGAAGGATCCAGTCAATGATTTGCTTGTCCCCTGACTCTGAGAGCCTGTAGTGAGTATTGGAGGTGCCGCAGGGATCAAATCTTGGCCCACTGCTTTGGGCATTATTTATAAATCTAACAAACTTCTTTATGCTGGCGATTTTAATATTTTCCTATCTACTACAAGTATGAGGGACTGTCATACCTGACAGATGGAATTGGATAATATTCACACTAGGTGTTAAGTAAACAAACTTGGTTTCAATGTAAAAAACTGTATCGTAGCAAGTTTTACCAGGAGGAAAAGTCAGTTTGTCTTCCACTGAACGACAGGTGATGAAGTGCTGTCTGTAAGCTGAAGATCTGGCAATTGTTTTTGTCTTAACTTTGTTTTTTGTTGATCATATCTCAATAATCGTTAATGCCGCATGCCACGCCTTTTTTTTTTTGTTAATTAATAAAACACAATGATAAATACTATCTAACGGTTGGTAAAAGGAAAACAGTTGTCTAGTGGTGTGCAAATTTATGCCCTAGCTCAACAAAGCGGAGAGTAGGGGGGGTTAAGAGCGCCAGTGACCTAGGACGGATTAAGCCGCAACCCCCCGAGATGTTAGTCGGAACTTGTTTTGCTTGACCACCACACAAAAGGCGAATCTAACAGAGATGACGAAAGTTAAGTAACAGTACACACACAGAGAGCCAAATAAAACAAGATATTAAATGAATCACAATATACTGATTCATAAAAAAACGCACATGTGCTCCACTACTGGAGTGCGAGTAATAAAAAAAAGAAAGTATATTATAAATCTTAAATACAGCCTGACAAAATTATTTTTCGATATAACCCCGCGTCTACCATGGTATACGCCCGAAGTATTTACAGATATTTTGCGCCTAAATATTAAACTTATCTGTAGGTCTTCTTTGTCAGGCGCGGCCGAGATGTCCTCAACTCTGGTCAAAAAGTGGCCAGTAGCGGGCACGTAACTGGGCAGGGGCTGCTTGCCTCGTTGCCAAAAATTATAGTAGTTAAAAAAAACCTTAGAGAGAGAAAGACTGTTTAAAAATCTACTCTACTCTCCAAAACCATGTACAAGGAAGTTAAAGCAAATGCAAAAAAAATGATAAAAATGTACTAAACTAATATAACCTTGTTCTCAAAAGTTATGGCAGCTGAAAAATCAAAATCTTGATCAATGTAATAGAAGGTGCCATGTAGGCACTGCCCCCATATTTTAATACGTAGAATGTCCAATAAAATCAAGAAGTCTTTAAGAATTTCAATAAGCAATAATAAACAATATATAATAATATTTTCATAAATAGGAGATCTTTCCCATTCCGGATCGAACAATCTACCAAAGATGCTTATAATTATGATACCTAGTAAATTTTCACCAAAAAAATGCAAAACCAGCAAAGGTAAAAGATTAATTTCGCACCCCCCACCACGGGACGTGATCGTCGTTAGACTTGGCACCCTCGAGTGACCGCCAGTCAAAAACACAAACAATAAACATTACTAGTTTTGATGACTTTTGGACTTAAAAGGACATTATTTGTGAAATATTTTTCATGATTTTTTGTCTATGTCCATAGTAATTGCAGTATGCATCAGGGAGATGTAGGGATTGACACGTCTTACACATATTATCTGTGTTTTAGGATGGAGAGGACATAATGTTTTTATTGCTTTGAAGAAATTCATTAACTCATAAATTAATAAATGATTACTATTATGACGTAAAGGAAGATGAGGAATTGGATGGAATGTATTTTATATTCTATTTTCTTGCAAAATACAGACAAATCCACACTATTCAACAGGTATGTAATGATAACTTTCAGTGTATTGAAGCTGGTAAATTCGAGAGTGGCATGCATTGACAAACGTCCAAATCTGCTGCCAAATTTAACAGTCAGAAAATCGACCTATTATTTGCCGCATTCCCATTCACTGAGGGGGATAACGGATTGTTAAATGTAAACCTATAACATATATCAAAATACGTGAAAGTGGTCCTGTTTTTTCTGTACAAAAGCATCATGTTGGAATCAAAAAGTGGTCTTGTTTACAATACAGTCGAATTTTCACGATTTTATTCAATACTTCAATAGAAAACACTAATATTCAGAGACCTTTGACAGCTTCTGTCAAATTGCATTTCGATAAAGTATTTTCCCATTGGTCCATAATATTAATGTTGGTGAAATCGGCCCTTAGTATTGCATTCCTTTTTTCTCAACGAATCTCCCTTACACTACTGCAAATCCAATGACTTAAACTTTACACCACTTCCACGCGAGCGAAGTTACGGGCTCAGGCTATTGGTGCTATAAAGTTTTCTTGAAGATCTTTCTTAGTTCCCTGGGGATAACACATGCACCGCTCCCTTATTACCGCTGAACTTACGGGAATAATGGCATGGTGATCTCGCTTGTACGAAAATTTTATAGAGTAGCTCCACCAATTTTTAGGATATAATTCTCAAAATAGGTCTGCCCTTTGTAAATACTTTAGGTGAAGCTCAAGTGTCAAAAAGATAAACCGAAGATTTGTAGAGCTTAAGTTTCACATAACCTGAAAATACAGAGAAATTGTTTCGTTTTTCAGTCAAGTTCTGAAGGTTGTGAGGAGGTTTGTCAGGAAATATCATGGAACTTCTAGAAGAATTAGATAAAAGTCACCTCATTATCTGTGGAATTGCGAGAATAATGTATCATATTTTCATAGTAGTCAAACCATATTAGACGAAAATAGGGTGCGAGCCTTGCGAAATAATTCTAAAGTCTGGTTTTATTGCTGCAAAATGGGTACACCAATGTTTGTGGGAAAACTTTTTATTCCATAACAAATAATGAGAAACCGTGTTTCTTGTGATTCAATCGAAATTGTTAGCAGGAACGAGAAAACTCTTATTACAAGATTTTTAGGTATTTATGAGACCTCACATAAAAGATCGGACTAATAGCAAAACTGTTATAGTCGAAAATCGAGGCAAACTGCAGGTTTCTGCACTTGTTTGTAATGCGACAATGGTCTCTCGCAGATTCTTAAAATTCATAGGATTCATACTTACAAATGACCACAGCAAAATTGCTGTAGATTGGTCAGGTAGTTGCTGAGAATTTCTAATTGCTTATCCCAAAACACCTGTTTTCCGGCCATCATTTCTAGTTTATTGAGTAATATACAGGATTAGTTCAAAGGGCATTTTATAGCAAAACACAGTAGTTTACCTTGCCGATATGAATCGCAAACCATTCCGGAAGATAAATGTTATTTTTATCCAAAAGGATGGGTTACGTTTTTGCTTCTAAACAAATTCCAACATTTTGTATTTGTGAGTAATTCGCACCAAAAGTTGATAGACATATCCGCGTTGTTTTGAAATTTGTATAGTAACGTATGTTTTTCGAATACGAATTGTTTGAATTTGTTTAGAAAAAAAAAACATAACCTTTGTTGTTTGCATAAAAATAACATTTATCTTCCAGAATGGTTTGTGATTCATATCAGCAAGGTAAACACGTGTATTTTGCTATTAAATGCTCTTTGAACAAACCCTGTATATTGCTCAATAAACTAGTAGTGATAGTCGGAAAACAGGTGTTTAGTGATAAACAATTAGAAATTTTCCAAAAACTACTTCACAAATATTCTCCAATTTTGTTGTTTCTTATTTAGAAGTATGCATCCTACGGATTTGAAGGTTTTCAAGTAGTTGCGTGAAATTATCATCGCATTACCAGCAACTGCCAAAACCTGCATTTTGCTAATATGATTAGACTATAGTTTTGATGACAGAAACAACGGTTTGGGACCAATAAAGGTGAAGTTTTCTTTGCTTTCCAAGTGAGGACATCAGTTGCTTTGCTTTCTATTATATATTCATATTTGGATACAAGTGAAGCTATTTATGATCCAAAAAAGAATTATTAGGACCATGGTCTACAAAAATTTGAAATATCCTAGCAGAGAGCTATTAAAAAATTTGAGCATAATAATGTTGTACTCATTGATTGATTGATTACTCATAGGTGTATAATACATGTCAGGGATAGTTATAATCAGTATCATACAAGAAATATCATTAGCACATTGGGCTATAGTCTCCGCGCGAATTTAATACTGTCATACCCCGTCATAAGCTTGCTTCGGTGCCAAGGGTGCTTCTATCATGCTGATAAGTTTGCTCAACCACTTGGCCTCATCCTTGAGACCTATAGAGCGCACCTCTGTACTCAAACGAAAGGTATGCGAATTACTGCTTGAGCAACAACTTCACACATCTGATGAACTTCTATCACGGCCATATGATTTTAACGTATTTTGATTTTAGCCTGCTGTGTTGTAAATGTGTCTCGATTAATGTCTATGTAAATATATATATTTCTGACGTAACGGGTGTTTTTTTTAGAGGTATGGAACTTTAAATTGCAATAAAACAACGATGCATTATTCGATTGACATGAATTTTATTGTATTCGAAAGATAATCTTGTGGCATTACATTTTAAATATGATTTCTGACATATGACTGCCACGGCTGGCTCGAACGTAGTCCAAACTGGACGTCCAATTTTCGATGACTTTTTCCAACATTTGTGGCTGTATATCGGCAATAACTTGGCGAATGTTGTCTTCCAAATGGACAAGCGTTTGTGGCTTATCCGCACAGCAAATAGTCTAGCGGTGTTGAATCACAAGATCTTGGAGGCCAATTCACAGGTCCAAAACGTGAAATTAGGCGGTTACCAAACGTGTCTTTCAATAAATCGATTGCAACACGAGCTGTGTGACATGTTGCGCCTTCTTGTTGGAACCACAGCTCCTGGCTATCATCGTTTCTGAAGAATTACGGACCACCCAACTAGCAAAGTAGTACTATAAGCTTTTGGTAAAAGAACCGTTCAGCCATTGTTGTTGCCTGAACATCAAAATGCAGGCTTAATGTTGTGTGGAATGCAAATTTGCTTTCTGCAACATATTTTCTCTAAAATGAGGTGTTTAAAATATTCTTATAGCATAATTATACAACACGTTATAGGACAAATTTTTAACTGTTGCATAAACGTTTATACAACTATTTTATATGGCATATTTGCAAAGTCAAAATGGTTCTGTTGTGGCATCCATGGTAACGTCTATAGAACAAACCCGAACCTTGTTGTTTTGCTATGCAAATTTACTAACTTTAGCCAACAAATTGCTCCTAACGGAAGCACTTATACAACTGTTGTTTAGTAACTGTTAAAGGCTGTACATATGCTAAATACATTGGTATACAACTTCACCATAACCTACTATAACTTTCTGCTGTAAAATTTTTGTTAAAATGTCATAACCAGTGTTTTAAGACTAACAACGCATGCATATTGGTTCAAAACAGAAGATACAAATCTGGTACAAATTCAGGGAAAATCATTCGACTCTGTCGGTATTTCATTTCAGACATTTGTCAAATTGTTGTATAACACCTGCAGGCAACACCAAAATATTCTAATAAACTAAAGACAACATGGACGATGCCATGACTATACACAACCACCCGCCATGTTGGACAAACACTTATTCCTCTATTTATTATATTAAATAATTATGTTTCACTTCGAAATTACAGATATAAAGTGATAAGCATTAGTGTAATTGTGTGTAAATATAGGATTTGTTAAGATTTAATGCAGATAAGTTCAGTTTTCTATCTTAAAAATCTAGACATACTTTTTTTGATCATTATCAAAATATGATTGAAATACGAAGCCCGTAGAAAATGCGTAACTACTTTGCACGACAATCACAATAAAAGTTGCTGCGCAAGTAATTCAATAGCCCTATATCGCAGTGTAGAAGTTTATCATATACATGTCTTTGAAACTCACAATAGCCGATATGTGAGTAAACAAGATGACTGTAATGTGTTAGTTATATATTCTTCACTTCGTCTATACAATACATAAGAAATAGTTTGGTTGCAATAAAGTAGAATCACGTAACAGAATAGTTGTATAGTTGACAAAATCTGAATCTTGCACTGACGCAAATTTCCTATAGCGGCTGCAAGAGGCTTACAGTTTTGTTGTATAACTGTTACCTGCAGCCCTTATTCAACCTCTTAAATGACTGAAGTGTCCTATTAGGTATGCCCATTCCGCTTGTATAGCTGTTCTAAGAGGGTTTTCCCAATGTTCTTACAGTATATAATGCTGCTTAAGGAATACTGTATAATCATTCTTGCAACTCTAATAGGAATGATAATTCCTAGTTGGGCAATGATTCCACCAGCCCATAAAGCGCACCAAACAGTCAGTTTTTCTGGATGTAACGGTGCTTCGACATAGACTTGAGGATTAGCTTCACTCCAAATGCAGCAGTTTTGTTTGTTGACGTAGCCAATCAGCTGGAAGTGCGCTTCATCGCTCAATCAAATTCGCTTATGAAAATCGGGGACAATGGCAATCTCGTTTTTGGCCCATTCAACGAATCTACGCCTTGCTTGATGATCGTTTGGCTTCAATTCTTGCACGAGTTTGATTTTGTAAGCACGCAAACCAGGATCCTTTCGCAAAATCTTCCATAAAGTGGATGGACACAGATCCAATTCCTGTGGTCGATGGCGGATGGACTCATTCGGGTCTTCCTCAATGCTATGCTCTACAGTAGCTATAGCTTCTTCTGTACGCACCGTACAGCGTCTTTGGGGATGCGAGTTATCAATTAGAGTAAACGTGGTGCGAAAACGTATCTTCAAAAGTAATGCCAACTTAAAGTTCTATACCTCGGAAAAAAAAACACCTGTTATATGTTCTTATTCTTTGACTAGTACATATTTAAATATGTAATTTGCATTACTGACTTATTCCTATACTTATCAGTTAGGTCTGATGGAGCATCAATAAAGTTGAAGTTTACATAATGTTCAGCAATGAAGATTTTCTTTCTCGGGAAAAATTAGGGCTCTTTTTTCAGCAGAATTCGTGATGAAAAACGCAATCTGTGATAAATGAATATTTCACCCCCGTCAAATATTAGGATTTCTGACGCGATGTTATGAGAGCACAAAAGTGGGCTTAACTTGTACATGCTCAAGTACAATATGCGACGGTGCAAGATAAATTCCATCTAAGGTGTATCTTAAAGATAAGCTTAACTTTACTAAGTACATAGTATATTTAGGAAAACCGTTGCAAACGGCCATAAATTACTTTCAGTTCCACGTCACCCTTCTATGAGACCTGACTCATCGATAAAGTAGAAGAGCATCCGGTCGGACAGCAAATACCTTTTAATCTACGAATATGCAGCGGTTAGCCAACGACGCGGCGAATTTTCCGTGGAAGTGAAACTTTTCGGGAGACCAGCCGCGAATCTCATCCGTAATCTGAAACATTTCCCCGTTGCAAAGGGCTTGGCTGCTTCGTTAGCGGTTCTTTCTTCCAAAGCCACTGACCCGGACGCAAAGCTATTCGGCCGGTTTATATTTTCGTTTAATCTGTACGGAAGTTTATGACCCTCCCGCGGTCCATGACGGTTCGTAGATCATATGAAGTTTTGTTGCAACTGCTGGTTAGCCAGAATACGTTCTACCTATACGGCTTTTAGATGAGCTGACTCGTATCACTAACTTACAACTTAAAGTTGGGCAAAGGTACCTTAATCGCTTGCAAGTATTGCCCTAGTTTCGCTTGTGGAATTTTTCAGTTCCGCATATTTAATGATCGAACTCACATTCTAGAAGACTTAACAAAAAACACAACGAACGAATTAGGTCGAGAAGAAGGCGTAATCCCTCGTCTCTCCGAATATCGTTTAAGCTGTTGGTCTTTCAACAGCAATTAGGTGAAAAGACCGTAATTACTTTGACACTTTGATAGCTACTAATTACGAGACGCGGCCCTTTTGGACAACTTGTCACCCAAGCAAGGTCCATTGTGTTAATCTAATTCTCCCGCTGCTGAAACTAGGGCATAGAACGCCTTACGACCACCGTTACGTATTTAGGACCAATAGCCAAGTAGAACTAATACAAATGACTTAAAGATTAAAGCTTGAAGTACAAATAAGTGCAAAGCCCGCAGAAAGACAAATATTGTATGTGGGTGTAGCAATTCGAGAATTTCGGGTGCTTCAAATTTGACTCTCACAAATGGGATCTAAGAAACGGCAAAGTCTGTTAAATCGGGGAAAAGTTGTGCACTTAGGTAACTGAAAAATTGACGCTCAGAAGGGTTCACATTACCGATTATTTCAAAAAAAAAAACGAGCTTGGTGAAAAACGTTTTCATTTTTCCCTGGATTTATTTGGGGCGTGGCTTAAAAATAAAAAAGTACATTATCGTCACCATTTTTTCTCATCTACAAGATGGCATAATAAGAATTTCAATTTGAAGTTTCGTATCTTGCTCACAACAATTAACATTATTTGTTATTATGGACACCACATTGCAGTAGTGGATAATCCTGATTTCAAAAATTTATACGTATAATGTCCTACGTTTAATACTGAAACTAATAATTTCATAGCTAGCTCTCTGAATAACAGTTTATCTTATGACTATCCGATTAAATCCTCATTGCTTCAGTTTGTGATAAGCATGTTTAAAGGAAATTCTTGTTTACCCTATAATGTTTCTATCAGTTACATAAAATAATACTGTTTTTGATTTTTCAATACTATATTTAATATGAAAAAGTTTTATTACATTATTCCATTAAAATAGGTGTGATCAGAAAAGCTGAAGGAATGGTTTGCTGATGATAATATGAAACAAATGATAATTTCAGGACTCAGTTGCAGGATTCAGTTTGCTTTTAATAACTAAGTTTGGCAATGTCAATATATATATATTACACATTTTTAGGATCATTACTAAAAACTATTTAATTGTACAAAATAAAAGAAAGAAAGAAAAAGTGATGATGCTAATGTATGTTATATTTTGATTTCTCATCTCAAATAAAGTCAGGAAAAAACAAAAAAGATTTTGGGAAAGCTCCGTTTCTTTCATCTATCTCGGGAAATACTTGAAATTGTGAAACTTTCCGAGTGTCATTTTGGGTTATGTTACTCAAATGCATAGCAATGCCCTAATTTAAACGAATTCGTATCTATTATTGTTTCCGGGATCTTAGCGACTGATTATTCTAAAAGTTGCCCTGAGACGCTTATAAAATTTGGTTTTGTGCAATAACTTATAGCAGCATTTCGGCGAAGATATTTTTGAAACGTAGACACTCCTGATTGTAGCAAGTGTAAACACCAATATCTTCATTCTAAATCAAGCACTCGGTATACTATTCAATTTTTTAATTCTATGCGGGATTCTAAATATATTTTCAATAAATTATAACAATTTTTTTTTCGTATTTTTGCCTATTCCATATGATTTGTATGGAGTTTTTATAGTAGAGGGCCTACTTTAGTTAGTTATTCCTGATTTGTGTGAAAAATAGTACAGATCGATCAAAAGAAGAGAATGAAAGTTGGGTATTAGGAAGCAAAAAAAGTTTTTTGAAATCGAACCCTCCACATTTTATAACTTCATCATATTAAGCATTGAAAATAAGCTCAATTTTTTATAAGGTCATCTATTTCCCAATTTAGTAGTTTTAGAGATATACGGAAATATTCGTTTATCTGTTGCTCAAATACTTTGTAAGGCTTTTACAGTTCGCTATCGTTGACCACTAAAATCGAAATACAAGAGCTAGATCCGTGAAACCCTAGAGGTGCAAAAGGCAGCTTTGTTACACGTTTTTATGGTTTTTTGAATAATTAAAGGTCCTTTTGGAGGAGGTAGCAGTAGTAGTAGTAGTAGTGGTGGTGGTGGGGAAGGGAAGCCTGACAATTAGGCCACATTTAACACTCTTTTGTTGATCACATAGTGCCAGCAATATACTACTCCGCAAGCCATGTGCTGGTAACTGAAATAATAAACCAGCTCCATTGATGAGATGTCCCTATATAGCACCCGCGTGAGCAATATAGACAACACAACACCCATGGCACGCAATTAAGTTCCGAGACGGAGATCCGAACCAGCAAGCCCCGCAGAACTATTACATAAAAATATGTCGAAAAAAACATAAAATGTCAACTTGCTCACTAGATAGCTACTAGTGTGCAAACCATTTATTCCGTGCTTGCTCGCTGTGAACATCACCAATAGCGGCACCTATGAAGGAATGACTCAACGACCACGCTTCTTAAGATGCCTTCCTCAGCATAGATAACCCGTCTTGCTCAGCTGTGCTTTATGTAGGGCCGTATCATCGTTCCTACAACAGTAGGACGCCTTTATGGCCTCCCTGATTTTGATACTTTTCTACTGTTCCGTGTTAGCGCTCTACTTTGAGGTTATGTTACAGATATCTGTTGCCATCAAATATTTCATTCTTTTTGATTTATATCATCTGTTTTCTGTGCCTGAAATTTCCGGCAATTCCAAAAGAAACCATAACTGCACAATAGAAAAGTGATGACGCTGACAAGGAACAGCGGAAATCTAGAAATACCCCAGCCTTTTTGAAGGAGAGAAAAGGCTCTGAAAATCAAGGAAGCCATAATGGGGTCCTACAATTGTAGGAACGGCTGACGATATGGCGCTAAATGAGGCATTATTATAATGTAAGTTGTAACCTGCAATGTTAAACTGCTTATACTGTTCTAGATGGAAACACTTAAAACAAGAATATCCAGTAGCTTATGCTTTTCATATTTATTTGTATATTTTTAATATTAATTTCCGTTCTGAACATATCGTAACATATGTCCTCTTGAGGCAGGTCAATGTTCTCTTTAAGGTCCTCTATCTCTTCCAATACATCAGCTTCCACGTTCTTGCCCCTTGGAATTATAATATCTGATTCTTATTTGTGAGAGATAGATATCGTGGCTGTTATTCAGATTCAGTCATGTCGGTTGGTTCTTAGAGCACTTAGAACTAGCTACCTTGAACAAATTTAAAATAGGTTATCACCATTCTCCCTTATGTGAGCAGAGGTTACTTGACAGACACCAAATATCTCGAAGGTGATGACATTTAGGCAGTACATACAGCTTCTACGAGAGGACATCAAGTGAACGGCATCTAGTTCCAAGCTGACATCAAATAGGAAAAGAACATAATGCCACAAAACACCTACATAATGTCAAGTTATGTAGTACTCCTGCCAGGTTGCAAGCTCGATACGCTAACCACAGACCTACCGAGGCTCCCTCCTTTTGGCTGGAAGTGTTTTTTTCGATGATGATTTCAAGAATATTTATGAGACAGTTTGACCGTACTATGCGAAGTGTTAAGTATTTGGATATTCAGAATACCCGGCGAGAAACTATAATGTTGTATGAATGGGCGCTGTAGCGAAGCTGTGTCGACGGTAGCGGTGGTTGAAAAGCTTTGAATAATAGGCGAAGGCCTTTTATGTAGATGGTTCTTGCCGGATTATGGTGCGGGATTCTGAATTCATTTGAATACATCAAGCTCACGAGTTAATTGAGTCTTTGACCAATTATTTCGTTGTCCAACGATATCGTGAGCTCCTTGCAATAGGCCGACAGGCTGTGCCAGACAGATTTGTTTTTATCACCAATAATGGCTGACTATATATTGACTATAAAAATTTCATTTTCATATTCCAGTTTTTTTGACACTGACACGTAGAAGTAAAAATAAGAATAGAAATGACAAGACTGGCAACGATTGAGTTCTTAAGATACCTACACCGGAGGGAGATTCCTCTAAAATTCTCATGGTTCCTCCAAAATTCGTGACGATCCGAACCTCTCAAATCGAAAGCACGCAAGTGCGTTAAATGTACCGAGATCATCATTATAGCTCATTATGAAAAAGGACCTTAAGCTGCAGCCATATAAAATTCAAGTTGTATAAAAATGGAAGCCCCGGGAAGCCAGCCAATGGCTTGAGTTTGTAAATCAGGTAAGTGAGCACTTTTCAACGTTCACTAACATCTTGTTTTCGGATGAAGCTCATGTTCATCTGAATGGGCATGTCAATAAGCAAGACTACCGCTACTGGAGTGAGACTAACCCAAAAAGCAAGCATGAGAAGCACCTACATTCCCCTAAAGTCTCCGTATGAGCTGCAATGTCGGCGCGAGGAATTATCGGCCCTTAGTTTTTCTAGGATTAAAGAGGACGTACAGTGACAGTCACTTCGGAGCGTTATATGGAGTCGTTTAACAACATCCTGGCACCTGAATTGCAAAGCTTTCCTGGCTATAACCAAGCAAGTGACATGGTTCCAGCTGGGCGGAGCAACATCTCACACGTCCAACCAGTCTCTGTCACGAGTTCGTGGAATTTTCCCTTGATCACCCGAAGAGGTGACATAAATTGGCATCCACATAGTCCTGATTTAATCCCTATTGACTTTTTTGTGTGAGGTGACCTCAAATCTAAAGTTTATGCCAATAGACCAACCTCTCTCGCACCTTTGAAAAAAAGTATCCGTCATGAAATGGCTTCCATCACAGAGTCGACCTGGCAAGTCGTCATAAGAAATAGATGCATTAGTCTTTTCGTAATTAGTCCACAAAACAGGAATTTGATTTTAATACTTTTTGAAAAGGTCGAGACAGCAAGCTGCAATTGTGAGTGATGGATCGATGCATGAACATTTCATTTTATATGTTATGTCCGCACTAGCTTGAATTTTTTATTCTGCCATTATAAGAAATAATCGGTTTTCTTTCTTCGAAATTTCCTTAAATATTAATTTTCATTTTACAATTTTGTAAGAGGTTATAAAATGATATATTCATGAATCCAAATTTAAAGTAAAAAGCATTCTTTCTTAAAACTTCAAGGTCATGTAGCTAAAAATAAGCCATTGTGGACATGTTTATGTTCGTATGAACTTCTCGTCACCAAATTATTGAGAAATCATATCAAAGAGATTAGCACACAATTTTTTTCTAAATTCTTATCATTTATTAAATTTATTAATGATCTTATTGTAAAGATGTTTGTAAACAATTGGTGCCCTGGTTAGGGAGTAGGAACAGCTGCTAGCTGAATCCTCAGCAGGAAAATTGTTTTATTATTGTTATTATTATTATTATTTCCGGCATCTCACAGCGTTCCGCGCTGGCTGCACTCGCGCTAGGGAAACAATTCACATTATCCTGTTGCGAAAAACTTCCTTACATGTGGCAGGTCTGTAGTATGGCTGCCTTCTGCACACTAATAACATGCTGATGTAAATCTGATTCCTTTATGTAAGTGGAGAGTCTGTTTGACACCACTCCTTCAACAGATACTACCAAAGGCATTATTTTTATTTCCCGTATTTTTCATATTCGTCTCAGTTCAATAGCTAGATTCTTGTACTTATCTATCTTATGAAATTCTGTTGAGGCACGATTAAACGTCAGCGGGATAGCTATATAGCCTTTTGTTGTTTTTTGTCTATCAGCAGTATGTCCGGTCTGTTAAAATCGATGCATTTGTCTGTAATAATGGGCCTAACCCAATACAAAACAGCTTGCTCATTTTCCATTACTGGCCTTGGTGTATGCTTGTAGTACGGAGTGCTGCTCTTGGTGATCGTACATTTTAGTGGTAGTTCCTGGTGAATTACTTTATTTACTTGTAGTCATCTTAAGTAGGCTCCGCTCGAAGGCAAGCTGCAACCCGCGATTATACAGAGTGACTTCGAAGTTGAGTCATTTATTTTAACTGTGAGCAGATCTGATCAAAAGAAATGTTTTTTTTTCTTTAACATTTTTCTGGTAAAATTAAAGTAACAAAGTTATAGCCCTTTAAAAGTTTGAGTACCGCCCTGTCTCAATAATAATATTATGTGCTCGTGTTTGGCAACAACGGATATAATCCGCCTTATCGGTTCATCGCAACGGAAACAAAAAAGCGAAAGAATTTGAAACGCTTATCACGATGTTTTTAGTTGTATTCAGTCAATGTGTCAGTCGCTAACGCGTAAGTGAATAGTGATGTTTGTTGCGTGGCTCAAACGAAATAAAAAATGGCACATGTTTACGAAAATGCTGAACTTGTGGACATGATGCTTATTTACGGGGGGGAAGTCTTTACAAAATGCTGCCGCGGCATCACGTATTTATGCGGATCGGTTTCCCAATCGAGTGCAACCAACCCCTCGTGCCTTTGTTAATGTAGTACAAAGAGCTCGTGAATCAGGTGACTTAAGACCTCACAGGGGAGAGCATGCCGGTGCTCCAAGACCGCACGATCACATACAGGTCCGCACTGAAATACTTGCCGGGAGGATACTTTATTAAACAAGGTAACATTTTTTTTTATTTTTTTTTATTTTTACACACGTATTTTGGTTTATCTTCCTTCTACAATCATTATTTGAAAATTAATGAATCAACTTCAAAGTATGTTCTATTGTTTCGCCCGGTTTCTGACACTTAATACAGACGTAATTAATACTGAGGTGTAAAATATATGTTTCTCATAGTTACGTGTGCGTACTACTTTATCCTGAATAACAAACAGGGAGCCTTCCTTTTTTGGGTGGAGATACCCGTTCCTAATTACTGAAATTGATGTCTTCTTGTCGATGTTGTTTGTCTCCAAAGAATTCGGGTATCTTCCAAGTATAGCCTTAGTCTTCCAAGATTCTAGCCATAGCCATGTTTCTATAATTGCTATGTTGCGACGTATCTTGGTTGTGCAGAAACTTCAACGGCGTATAATTATTATCATAGCGCAGTATCCCCTTGACAATAATTTGGTTTTTGGTGCTGTGGAAATAGCTACGAACAAATGCTACTTGCCTTTTGTACATTTGCTCGATGTTCAGAAATACAGAATTTTGTAAGTAGCCTTCGTGTTGTGCGGTCAAGGTCGGCTAGGTCGGTGTCACTCCATTTAAGAATCTCAATGGAATATGATAATACTGGAACTGCCCAGGCGTTAATTGCTGTCATCATGTTTGAATTTAGCTTGGTGTTCAGCAAGTTAGTAAGTTTCTGTATATACTTTCTCCGTACTTCTGCCTTCTGAGATGTGTATTCGGGTCCAGGATTTTGCTGTAGTCCAAGATACTTGTAATAGTCCTCCGGATCTAGAGTACCGATGTCATATATTTTTTTGCCTCCCTTCTATATGTGAAACACGGCACACTTGTCCAGTCCAAATTGCATCTGTATATCTTGACTGCAGATTTTTACTATGCTTATTAGTTGTTTATCATTTTCGGCGAAAAGCTTTATTTCGTCCATACACAGAAGGTGACTCACCATCCAGACGTTCTGCCTTTCAAGCCTGAACCCGGCTTTACATTTGCTGATTAGGTGAGTTAATGGGTTAAGAGCAAGGCAGAACCAGAGAGGGCTGAAGCTGTCGCCATGGAAGATATCCCTCTTTATGTTTACCATGCCTAATTTACTGTTCTTTAACATAAGCGATGTTTTCCAGGAGTCCATGGAGACACTTAGGAACCCACGAATCAGCGGGCTCACCTTATATTTCCAGCACTTTTAGAAGCCAATCCTGTAGTACAGAATCAAATGCTTGTAATTAATGTAGCAGTTGAGCATGTTTCTTTGTTTAGTGAGAATAGAGTCTATGGTTGATAATCGATGTTAACCAGTAATATATCATGGTAAGGTGTCTTATTGGCCTGTAGTTGTTTGGAGCGCATGTATCGCCTTTCTTATATATACGTGACACCCTTTGCTAAGTAATCTGGGAAGGATGCTGGGTTCACTAAGGCCTTCATGTAGGCTTTGGCGAGATATTCGTGGATAGCGTGAAGTTTCTTTAGCCAGAAATTGTGTGTCTTCTCCAGGCCTGGTGATTTCCAATGATGTGCTACACTGATGCCCTCCTTCACATCCTGTGCCGTTATAGTTAGCTCATCCGTGTTGATGATCCTCTCCGTTTCATTTTATTATTATTATTATTATTCTTATTATTATTATTACTATTATTATTGGTATTGTTATTGTTATTATTAAGGAAGACCCGGTATAGATTATTGCATCTGAAACGTGCCCGTGTGGAACTGCTGCGTTAAATACTTTAAGTACTCGCAAGACAGTGCGTCATGGAATCACTCCTGATTATTTAATACTGTGACTGTATTATTTCTGATAGCAATAACTAAAACCTCAGTCCTCAAACTTACGTGTACATCGCCCTCATAATCTGACACAGCAAATAGCTGCCTCTACACATTTCAGCGAATCGAAATCGATTTTATTAATGGAAGCGATTGAGAGCGCCCGAAGTAAGCCCCAAGTGATTCTTGCTATCAGTCAGAAAATAAATGAAATGGAAAAAAGTGTTTTTGGTGGAAGGCAAGGAGGCAAGAAGGTAATAATAGCCTACATTTTGATGGCTATTAATCCGAAAATCGTATGGCAGCGCTGGTTATTATCCCTGAATATATAGTCGCAGGCTTTTACCCTTCTGTTCATCGACATTGAGGATTATTTCTTTCTCGGCATTAGTCTAGTCTTCACAGATGCAATTTCACTTAAAAGAAGTTTCAAAGCAACAAATATTTCAAAGTGCTGAGAAGCCAACAAAAAGTAGTGCTGCGCGTGGTCCGCTCTTAAAGAACAGTTTCGACAGATGCACTGCTGGTGGTGGCTGGCATCCCGCCTATTGATTTGCTGGCTCAGGAGGGATGCGCGCTTTATAAAAAGGACGGTGGAGCTAAAGGAGATGAAAGGGAGGCGTGCTTTGTTAGTTG